TTCATCACAAAAACATCTGCTCCCACCGGGATTCGAACCCGGGACCTCTCGAGTCGGCGTCACCATGAAACCCGGCGTACAAACCACTCGGCCACGGAGGTCGTCAAGGAGGAGGGGTTAGTTGGTTTTGGAATTCTTGGCGTTAACCGGACTATACTACGCCGCTGCACGGATTCCTACCTACCCTCAGTTTCGGAGCAAAAAAATTTTAAGTTTTTTGTCCTCCCGAGACTGCCTGGCGCCACTACGAGCCAGCGGAGACTGCCGCGCACTAAGATCGCGCAGAAGTAGCCCCCGACTCGCAGCATGGCTGAACAGCCAACCCAGACGCCGCCTACACCGCAGTGCTCCACCCCGATCACGGACGAGGAGCTGGCCAGCGGTTTAGCTCGATCGATCGAGATAACATCGCTAGGCGTCAAATATGCATTTGACGCCACGATGGTGTCTAGGCTCGTCGGGTCCGGCCGACAAATACCCGCCGCTAGTGGTTGAGCACCTGCCGGACTGGCCCGCGTATATACGCCTCTTGCACCATGCCCTTGACCGCGCACCGAACGCGCGCCCGTTAACGCACGGGCGTGCGTTTCATCCCCACGGACGCGGAAGAACACCGGCTCATCCAGGCCTATCTCTCCAAGCTGGAGGAACAAATCGGGCTGAGCTGGTTCACATACGCCCTCCCCGAGGACCGCAGCCTTAAGGTGGCTATAAGAGGGCTACCTTATAACACCGAGCCGCATCACATTGTCGAGGCCCTATCCGCTAAGGGCTTCCGATGTGAATACGTCAAGCAGATCCGGGCGCGAGCAGGCCGCCCCGGATGCATCTACTACGCTGCCCTGAAACGAACGCCGGACACCATCCCGGCCATATACACAGTGAATGAGCTCCTGTGCATGACCGGGATCACCATAGAAGCTTGGAGGGGCAAGAAGGGCCCTGCGCAGTGTCACCGCTGCCAGGGCTTTCGACACTCCTCCAAAGGATGTCACCGCGCGCTTGCCTGCGTGCGATGCGGATACCCGCACGCCGCCGCCGACTGCCCCCGCCCGCGTTCGCAATAGGCTAGTTGACCCTTTTTGGAAAAAGGTTTTAAATGGTTAATTAATGTTCTATTAGACCGAAAAAAATGTATTGTATTTTTTTTAAACCTAGAAAGCTACAAATCTTTAATTTTAAAATAGACTTTTCATGGACATACACAAACGCTGTCGGCCATTTTAGTCTATAGATTATCTATACTATGACGTGAACTGTCGTAAACAAAAACTCGTAAACACGTAGAAAATTACTTTTAACTGAGTTTATAATAAACAAAAACATGATTTCTAATAAATACCACGAAAAATAAAGTAATTATCATTACTGTATTGTACGAGAATATAAAAACACATCCTTGAACACTCCAGGAAAGTTGTCGATTAAAGTGCCGGAAGAAATTAACCTACGCAACTTTATTACACTTATTCATATGTTGTATCAGTTTTATGTTTATTACTACATTGTAATACTAAATGCACTGTACTTACATAGATGCCTTGTCGTTTCTCTGCTCCGCAGAGCAGAAATCGGGGTTTAGTGCAACAAATTCACCAACCATCAATGCGTCAATTCTTGGCAGATTTGTGCTTTCTGCTTTCACAAAGCCGGCATCCATAATTAGTTTTGTCAAAAAAAAACTAAGTTTACTGTTTTTTTCTTTCCTAAAGTTAAAAGTGTTTTATGATAAATTTAGTCAGACGAAAGAATCCACCTACAGTAACACGCGAATGACATTTAGTTGTTTACCAGAAGAGACGTCAAAATCATGGCGGATGTGGCGAACAGCGTTTTTAGTGTTTAAAAAATATAGACTAAAAAATATTTTTAAAATTAAATTTCTACAGCAATCTTCTGCTTTTATGAAGTGAAATCGATATATTAAGGTTCCTTAGACTAAATACTTTAAGAAATAAACATTTATTTAATACAATTTGACATGAGTAAACTAGCCTATTGGCAACATGCGCGAACTGCAAGGGCCCGCACCCCGCGAACCACAGTACGTGCACCGCGAAACTCCGCGAGGCGCTCAACAAGAAGGCCTCCACTGCGGCCCGATCAGGCCGCACGCCCAACCAACCACCACCGAAACCAACCGAGATGAGTGAGCACGCACTGGCCACACTCATGGCCCCAGCGAATGCCCAGCCCGCCCAGAAGCTACCGAAGCCCCGCCGCCGACGCAACAAACACGGCCGTCGTACCACCGCACAGCGTGATGAGGCGCCCCCCGCTACCCAACCAGCCACTGCAGCCACTACCACAAGACCGACACCAGCAGAGGCCCCAACTGTTGATATAGGACAGCTGCTCAGCATCGCAGAGCAGATCAAGGAACACATACAAAAACTCGGGTAACCGGGTTTTTCGATCTACCCACCACGCCTCGGTGTCCTCTCGCCTAAGTCCGTCGCCCGCTCGCTGATCGCTCACTGGGCCTTGACCGCACCGAGGGCGATAGTGAAGTCGCAGGGAGGGAGGATGACCACAGGACCGTCCCGTTTGTCAACGGGATGCGCACCCGCCGCATCAAAAATGGCTAGAGCCAGAAGACTCCCCGCACGCCGCGGCGCCTTCGGCGCCGGCGACGCGCGAGACGAAGACACAGTCTGGCCTTAACAAATCGAGTGACTTTCAGTTTCAGGATAAGGCCAAATTGGCCTCTAAGAAACTTGGTGAACTCAATAGATCAATATCAATCTCAATAATAGATAGAGAAGGTACTTTACACCTACTCACAGACTGTAACTTTATAAGGCACAGGTTTAGCCTCACCTGGAGTTACTGTTATATATCTTTGGGCAGTCAGCCAAGTTATCCCTCTGGATCGCATCCAGTACCTAACGGCTCCAGGACCAGAATCTCTCCGATCAGCTTGATTCTTTGACTTTGCGTAGGAATGTAGCTTCGCTCTGCACAATCAGGGGGGATGTTCTGAGGAATTGTTCGCATTAATTCTAGCGGCTTTTTGTCGATTAAAGTAAAACTGTGGAATTTATTGTTGTCAGCAGTGCAGGACCAATACAACCAGAAAACCTTTAAAAAAGAGCGGAGTCCTTCCTTAAAGGCCGGCATCACATTATTAGACTTGTATTACAAAATGACAACTAAGTGTTGATCTTTACTTGAGTATAGCTAGAAAAGGATATCACTTTGTGCTATACATAGATAGCATTATCCCTTTCTGAGTATGCTCAAAACTCGATTAATTACTGAGAATCTTTCTATTTATACGGGTCTTTGTGTTGCAAGCAAATAACAAAATATCGTTGGTTGCAAGTATCTATGGGCAATGGTGATCACTCAACATCAGATGAGCCGTCTGCTCGTATGCCCCCTATAGTATATATCTTTGTACATTTAATATGTACGTAGAAGTCAATAAATCAGAAATAACAACAATATACCAACATACATTTTTATTTTATTAAACAAAATAAAGAGTAAAGATCTTTGCTCTTTGTTACCACACAGAATTCGCCAAACTTTCAGGAACCGCTCATTTTTCTATATATTTGTGGAAAAATTATCTTTGGCATAAAACTGGGATCGTAAATATATAGTTATATTATTGTATTAATATCTATAATATAACATATAATATCGGTCCATAAGAGTAGCGGGGAAAAATTACTGAATTTAACCTTCACTTACACCTTTCCATTTCCATTCGTAGTACTTAGTTAACTACAATCCGTAAATTAAATTACCTTACAGCACCGTCTATTCGTAAATTTCCACAGAAACAAGTATTTCATTTGAAATTAAATAAATTGCAGAACCAACCTTGTATAACGCACCCTAAAGAGATGTGTAGGATAGGTACATACTTTAATAAGTAAATGGAGTTTAAGAGAGGTCTCACAAACACCATGGAATTTCTGTTTTCGATAAACATTTTACTTTATAAGGTCTAGTATCTAAGTAATTTGAAGTTCAAAAAATTAGTAACCATTTTATTGCTGATGCTAAGCAGAAAAAAGAGTTTCTTCTAAAACCATTGCTACGACACGACTATCGTCGATTAATAATTCCGCAAAACAGTTTCCACAAAAGATTTTTGTTATACCTAATCTATTAAGAAAATAATAAGATCAGAATTAAATCGGCCACAAAGTAATTGTATTCGCTAGCTTTATTGAAAAATGTATCTAGTTTCTTTGATAAATAAAATGATATTTCTATTATATTGAAAGTGTTTTTCCTGAAGCTTTATGTATAAAAAAAGAATGGCTTATGATGGCTACTTCATAACCGGCGGGATCAAAGCCAAGAAGCTATTGAATTGCAAGCTAAAAGGCTTCCAGAGGAAGAACGTATTGAAGGGTTGGTTATAAAATGACAAAATACTGAAAACGTATTAAATAACAACGCAGGTATATGTTGTTGCTTTTTGTTTACGTCACAAAAAAACTGTGAACTCTGAAAATACTGAGCCTTAAACAGAATTGTATAGTTAAATAAGATTTTAATTGCGATTAGGGAATTGGTGAAAGTCGCCCTAAGTCCCACTAACGCCAAAGTTCTTAATTCAAATTAAGACTTAGGTTATCTGGTTTTTAAGACAATACTCCATCTTGATCAATTGTTTAAAGTAAAGCAAAGAATGAGGCTTAAACATGATTCAAAAGAATAAATATTTATTTCTTAAGTTTTCACGCATTCCTATTATTAACATCATTAGAATCGTACATTACCCCTGAGTATCATCCTGTGCAAAGTTGGGGCGGATCGGTAGTAATTAATAAATAGAGAACTGAACACACGAAGTGGTTAATAAATGGTTAATAAGATTAATAAGTTACATATTTGAACAAAAAGGCGTTCAAATGAACTGAGATCAAAAAAAGCGTCACCTCAATAGCTGTGAAACGTAAATATTTTTTATATTGCATCTGATAAAATGATTCATGAAACGAAATGAAATATTATGTTCTAAAAAGTAAAAGATTTTTTTGTGAAATAACTTTTTATTCCGTTGAATACCAAATCAGTCTCTCAACAAATACCAACATAGAACCGACAAATACTATTACATTTTTGATATTTCCAAAGAATATGATTTCTCATGTTGTTTTTTAGGACGATTGTTAGTCCAAACTTCTCAGTGATTGCAAGCAAAAGTAAAAAAAAGTGTTGCCGCACTTTAGTATAACATGCTACCACGTAATGAACATATACAATATGGAGAATAGAATAGAAGAATATTAATCATATAAATATCATAATAATTATTAATATTATAAAACTATTGCTCAATTAAATATAACGTGACTCTTACAATTAAATCTCCAAAATAATTTTAAATGCATTAGAATAAAACATTAATACATTACACGATAACATGATCAAAATTAGTCATCAATCAAAATCGTATTCAGGCTAATTGACTTAAATCTAAATGAGACCCTGCACAACATTCACTTAAACTAAAACAAGACAAATCACAAATTCTTTCTGATGTCATGTAATAACAAATTCTTAAGAAAGTTGTTGTCCTGGGAAAAGCATTCCACAATGTCGAAATGATCAAAATCGTCTTTTATTTCAAGGTACATGTTTTGAATTAAACACACGTTCAGTAGGAGTTCGTAGAACTCTCTGCTCTGTTTTTTGAACCTGGGACTGTCGTTTTGTGCCGCTATGATGAAAACGCGTACTCTTCTAATGTGGAGATGTTCATAGCAGTCGAACTGCGGAGAGAGGGGCTTCGCCCATTCTATTGGCAGTTGGACCGCTTCGTTGACTGTAGTATGCACCAGTTCTCGAAGGTCGTATACACCGGAGATCAGAAATGCGGCTTGGAGACGACTTGATCCAATTGTGCTGTCGAGGAAGTCTGCGTTGGCGAGGAGCTTGGCTACGAGATGAGCACCGGCGGAATGTCCAGCGAAATACACCCCTCTTGAAAATAAAATAAGAAACATAAGAAACGAAGACATCCGACAAAGTATATATCCATACTAATATAATATATTATATTATTAGAAATGGGAAAATGTGTTTGTTTGTTTGTTTGTCTTCTCTTCACGCCTAAACCGCTGAACCGATTGTGATGAAATTTGGTATATGTATAGCTTGAACTTATGAGACTGCTATAGGCTACTTTTTTTAAATTTATGTATTCGAATTTACATAATTTTCAACTAAATTAATCATTTTCATGGTTGGTCCCGATAGAGATGGCGCTACTGTCACGAAGACAGATTAAATTTGAAATGTGGTAGTTGCTATCTTAACATAATACGAGATGGCACCACTCGTGTTCAATACCGAGTATTTTGTGTTAGTGTTTCATTTATTGAATCGAGGTAATTTTACGCAATTTCTTTCTAATCTCATTTTTAAAATTAAATGTAGCAAATACTACTCTAAATTTATAATATAAAAATATAATTTTCGAGTGATTATAGATTCTGGATGTTGCTTATATAATAATATAAAATAGAGATGGCGCTACCATCTCGAATACCAACTCAACCGAGTAGTCTCTCTTGAAATAATATTTTCTGAGTAACTTAACAGATGGCACCACCTGTCATTAAAATCAAGTTTACTTGCACTAAAAATCTGAGGTTTTTCGGATGGCGCTATTCATGAACATTACTTTTTTATATTTATTGTTTTTAATAGTATTCTGTTATCTGTGCTATTAGAGAAGAATCAACGTGGTGGTGTTAAGTGCTTACTATTTCAGCAGGTAAGCAACAGCAAGCAGTAGATACCTACCTACCTTGATTGATTTTAAAGAAATACGATTTACCAAGGTACCTACCTACTATCCATAGTAGTATTAGGTATTATTATGAGAGTGTTTGTTTTGTTTATCCTTCCTCGAAGCCTAAACCACTTTGAAATTTGGTAAGTATGTAGGTTGAAGCTTTGGGTTGCTTTTAGCTACTTTTTTACTCACTATGTCAAAAGAGGATGATAGCCTCAAATAGCGTAGCCGCGGGTAACAGCTAGTATATATATATATATATATATATTCTTTGATTCTGCCGTTTTTTTAGCTCTGTATGGTCTTCCCGGTTGACTGGTAGGGAATGCCATATTGGCATTAAGTCCGCTATTTGCAGTGTAAAGGCAAAAAAGATTAAATAAGACAGGGTGCTGCCCTGCAGCTTAAGACAACGTAGACAGGGTGCTGCCTTGTAACCTAACATACTAAAAGAGACAGCAAGATTAAGGTCTCGGTAGCATAATTGGTTAGTGCGTCCGTCCGGATAGCGGAAGGTATCCGAAGGAAGGAACTCGAATCCTTTCTGATGCCTGGACCGAGTGGATTATTATTTTCTAGTTTTCTTAAGATTTACAGTTAATAACACACATTCATATCTATATAGTTTTAAGCTTTTTCCAAGTAATCCGAATCAAGAGTAGCCAGGAGTACATTGGTTTCGGATGTAGAAAAGAGAGAACATTGAAACATTTGTTTTATATTTTTTGTATACTTGTGTAGGATACGCCAAGTCTTTCGTAAAAATCAAGCATTGAATAGCAAGAGAACGAAATTAAATTTGAATATCAAAACGTGCGAGTAAGTAGACACTTCCCATTCGTCTTTCGAATGAAGAATGTACGCCTGGAACTTCGAATATTCACAAATTGAATTCATTTTGTCCTATGCAATAAATAACATTGATATCGATACTACAGAAGCACGTTGGGGTGTCATTCAAAGGTTCCAATTCGTTCTATATTGCGATATGTATTGCTTAGCGCTTGATAAGAAAAGAATGTATTGCAATTTCCAGTATATAAAAATGGTCATACATATTTATATAGATTCGCACTCAAAATTGAATATATAAGTAAAAACACAAAAACAGGAATCAGATCACAGCTGTTACAATATATCGAATAATTACTAGGACCCGCGAAGAGAAAAGTTTTCTTTGATTTACCATATGAGACTGTTTCCTAGATTACTTATAATAATGAATGAATTAAAAGAACTGTCTACGAATTTTAATAATGATCATGGTTCGTGTTTTACTAGTATGGCTTGGCCTAATACCTTACACTCTTTTTCTACACTACAAAGATTTACAACTTATACATGATACTACTCCTATTAAATTCTGTAGAATAACTGCCCATATTGTTTGATGTCAACTAAAACACTAAAAAATTACCTTCTTTAAAGAGTATTTGAATCTTATAGGTATGGTAGAATAATAATGTATTATTCAGTATCTCAAAGTACTTAACTCTGTGTGTACTTGACAAGTTAGTGGAGTGTTTTCTTTATTTTACTTAATCACTTGCAAAATACTAGGATAGAAAACTTCGTTACTAGAGAAAGACGGTTGATCCAGACGGAGTAACGACAACACTGCCCTACCTAGCGGTAATACAACTAAAAACATTAACAAAGATGGTACATACCCACCCAATTTCCTACTAATATTATAAATGGGAAAGTTTTTATGTTTGTGTGTTTGTTACTCATCCACGCCAAAACGGCTGAACGGATTTGGAATTTATTACCTGATTGGAGACATAAACTACTTTTTATCGCGAAAAAGTGTGCGGTTACTGAGGGATTCTTAAAGGCGTAAAGATATCGCGAACGTACTCGCGGACGGTCGCTAGTAGGTAATAAAAAAAATCAAATTACCTGCTACCCATTTTCTCAGCGTACTCGAATACGAATTTGGCTGCGTTTTGGATCTGATTGACGATCTCTGCCAGGGTAGCGACCGGACAAAGATCGTAGCCGACCACGATAGTCTTCACCTTAGACCGGTAGAGCGGCAGCGCGGGGTACCGGGACAGCTCGCGGGAGAGCTCCTGCCAGTACCCGCCGTGCACGAACACTAGGATGGGGGCATCTGGAAAATGGGAAAACAAATGCATCACATACTTACACTCTACGTTGCCCGCCGCCTTTGATTATATGAACGCCTAGATAGAGCAATCCAAGTAAACCATGCAAAGAAATCGGCTCATGTTGCGCGCAATGTGTGCGTCACTCTAATGTCAGATTTTTTGAAAGCAGTCAATGTGTGCAACGACAAGCTTTTATGTTTTGGGGTGCTTCCGTGCAGTTAGTACGGTATCTAGGCGTACATATAATCAAATAATGTGCTATGGGTTGTGTTATCGGATGTGTTCAATATGTTCGCGTGAGGAAAAACATAAATAAATCAGTGTACAGATAAGTTACAATCATATTGACACAGGTTGATATTTTAGTCGGCACGGACTACCTACCTGAGTTGTAGTAATTACATACAATTGCCGTAATTATGCTTGTCAAACCATCTATTTTATAGCAAACAAAAAATATTTTCGTTCAAGTCTAGCTTTATAGTGTCATAACTTTTTTCACACAGTGATTTGATACACTCGGTAATATCAACAATTAAAGTACATAAAATATTGTTTCGAATGATGTCGCATGTTGTTATTGGTTCATAGGCAAAAACGCCCGTACACATGCTTTAAAACCTCTATACAAGATTCTGAAACAGATTATTGCCAACATTAAAACATCCAATGTCCTTATAACAATAATATCATCCAAACGTATGATAATAAGGTCTCCTTCGCTTTTTCGATCTCTTGCGCAATGGATTTGTCATTCACGCGAGTGTCACTACCACTGCGCCGAAACTTTTCATGAATTATAAGCTCTTAGAATGCCCCATGGTTTCAAAATCTTTTATAAATAATAATGATTCATATCATGGGCATGGATAAAGTGTTGTACGCAACTGTTTAGAATTAGGTATTAAAACACTAATGTGATACTATTATCACACTCGGTTTCATTATACAACAGTTGCATAAATAACTATTACAATGTTGAAAATAAGTCTATAACATTATATTATCAAACATTTGCGAAGCACAGATGTTACTTTAAAGATCGCACATCTGGTAACTGGTTATTATCTTTGCATATTCGGTTGGATATTATTAACTTATTACACTTATTTGAAAGTTTGTATGTAACTATGATTTTTACTCAATCCCACAATAACGACTGAATGGATTTGGATGAAGTTTGACGCCGCACATTTAAGTATTACCTACATATTTAACAAAGAATACTACAAATCTGCCCGGAAAAATATTAAATTCCTGAGAATTATCGCAAAAGTGCAAGCAGGTCTTAGAAGAAGTATTGTATCGTCCGTTTAAATATTTAAAACTAGATTGACAATCAATAAAAATAAACATGTTTCATCTTCATTTTATTTTTATTACTCATTTTCTGTCATTGTGGCACAAAATGAGAGTTCATCATTCTGTGAACATTTCAGTACCCTTAACACGAACCAAAATCGAATTCGTAACGTTTGCGAATCCGAAATGTTATTGTAAAATATGTACTGATTTTTAACTCTGTTACGTACTTTGTGGCGCTGCTGTTCAAGTTTCCATACAAAATTTGACATTGACATTTCGGATTCGCAAACGTTACAAATTCGATATTGGTTCGTGCTAAGGGTACTGCAGTGCTATTCTGTAAGAACAACCTCACTTTTCACCTGTGTGTGCGGTGTGATTTAAAATTAGAACACAAATTTCAAATAAATATAGATAGATGGATAGATAGATAACACTTTATTCACACCAACATGCATAGAAAATTGACAAGACAAATTTTACAATTAAAAAAATTCTATTTATACATCTATACTGTGGTATTTTTCGTGTGCAGCAGCGATCCGAACGAGCAAAACTCAGCGAAACATTTACTCATAGAGTAAATAGCTGATTTTCAGTACTGACCCATATAGATGAGGTCTCGCATTTAAATGTCAGATTAAAATTCAAAATTACATTAAACGAAATTATAAATCACACCATCACAAATTATAAATTACTAGCTGACCTGACGATCTTCGTACCGTCATAAAAATAGGGGCAGATGGTAGAAGAGAAAATTTAGGAAATTTTAATACCACATTATAAAAAAAAAAAAAATGTCTAAAAAAATTTTAGGAGTTTGTAACGTAGTGTTCTATCAATTTCCTGGGATAACATTCCTCCTAACCCATATGAGAACACTACGTTACAATACCCAATAGTTTGAATTTTGGCGCGAAGGCGCATTGTAGGCTTAGATTAAAACAAAAAAGGTAGATACGGCACTAGCCTCACAAAAGTGATCCGCATGAATTGTGGTCCACGACCCTAATCGCTTTAGTCACAACTTGACATGCAAACGACGTACATGTGAACGCCAAAAAGAAATATTGCCAATATTATGTGTTTATATGATAAAACAATGCTTAAGTGTGTTTTTAAAAAGTGCTCAAATTGCTCAAGAACTAAAAATAAAACCCACGGCATCACTTTTCATTAGTAAGTACTATAAAATATATTTTTTCATAAAAATTGCTGTTTGTTTTGAATCTTATTCGGTAGTGACGTCGAGTACTGGTCGTTGTTACCAGGTCATAAAATTAAAAAAAAAAGGAGGGCTGGTCGCGTGATTGGTCGGTAGTGCAGTGACGCGGATCTCGCCGTCTCGTTCGCGCTGCCGTTGAAACTTAACGTGCTGTTTTTTTTTTAAATCTAAGATTCTGGTTTCAGAGCACTGCGTTACAGGTGGACAACCATTATCACTTATGGACATGAAAAATAGATAGTAGCCGATTCTCAGACCCACGGAATATGCATATAAAATTTCATAAAAATCGGTCAGGCCGTTTCGGAGGAGTATGGTAACTAACATTGTGACACGAGAATTTCATATAAAAGATAAATCGCAAATATCATATCACACCGGCGGGTTTGGGCGGAAAAGTGATTTGCTATTTGTTACCTTTCGGGTAGATATTTAACAAAGACATTAATATACTATTTGGTATGGATAGCTTAATAGTACTTATTGGTAAAGGAAAGGATTTTATTTTAATTTTCATAAAAAGGAGAGGAAGTGCATTTTACAATGTATTCTTAAGCATACGTCTACATTATAATCTCTAGTTGACAAGCAGCATATTTATGCCAAGTTGTTTGATACATCGTTACATTTGACTATCAGGCAATGTCACGTCAAATACATCAAATCAAAAATCAGATTTTTATTGACAACGTGATTTTTTAGTATTTTAACTAAAGTGGTCAAAGTTTTTTCCATACAAAAGTTTTCGACTGATTCCTCCTTGATTGTTATCACTGGAGAAACGATTTTCATACATAAACTATAATTTTACTCATTCTATCCTCCTATGTATTCCTTTTTTCGGTAACTTGTGTTTCAAAGTATCACCACTAAAGACGTCTAGTGTTGAGATTCAATAAGCATTTAGGAGTGTTATGTATGTATATACATATGTAGATGGCTGCGACCACTATCGTGTCTGTCAAATAAAGCAGTGCGTAACTAGCATCGGCTCGTTTCACTTGTGCACATATTTAACGATTCCATTATAGTTATATCGAAGGTTATTATAAAACAAATATGAAAGAAACATATTTATATTTTTTTTTTAATTAAGTTCTTTTTTAATTAAATTTAAATCAATAAACTCTATAGACAAACGTATTTAAAACACTGTGTTAATCTTATAATGGCGTACTTATAATAAAACAAGGCACAAGGTTATCTGTCGGAAGTTATCGTGCATTTTGATTTACGCCTTTACTACATTGTTATATCTTCTCATACATTTAAAATTAATCCTACCCTATTATTATAAATTGCATGCACAGCTGATAGGGCGCAGACGTTGAGATAATTATTGTGATTAGATAATAAATATTTACCTTATGAAATGTTTCATGCGCTATGTGAAAAAGCAACCATAAATGGCCCGCCTAATGGTGAGCGGTCACCATATTAACCTATAAACGCTTGTGATACAAAAATCACTTACGCCGTTGCCTAGAATCTTAATCACCGACAGAACACAAACACAATAGTACCAAAAGGTACTAAGTTATTTTACTCTGGTGTATGTGTGTGTGCTATAATCACAGAAATCTTTGAAACCAATACGAGTGATGGAATTATCTAAGATGAATCAAATTTCAACTTACCACCTGGCAAATCTGTGCCAAAGATGTCCAGCTTTTGACCAGGAGTTGAACCGTATTCTATCTCGATCTTGTGTGGTATGTTATTCGTGGCCATTTCGCTTGCTGTAAATATAAAAAAAAAATATAAAAGTTAATTGCACTAGAAATCCTTCTGTAAACGCTTCTAGAGAATATTTTCGAGCGTATCATGTTTGTATAAATTTAATTAAAACATAAATTTTTACTAACGTTTATTTGAGATCTAGTGCATATGTACCTACTCTGATAAAATAAGACGAAATTAAACTCTCTACAAACTTGATATCTATAAGTGGATTTGGGGTCTTTGCGAATAATTTTAAATTAATTGCGCGCCATATCATTTTAAAACATATTTAAGTATTTTTATAATTTCGCTTTAAGAAACAAATTCTAAGCCAATATGATGACACGAGTATATTTAGAAAATAAGTACTTTATACTAGTTAGTATAAAGTAATATACTCAGTTGAGATAAATCTGCTTTTGAAGAATTGACAAAGAACTTATTCATTTGCATTTTCTGAAGCTTTATTTACTTTGTTTTAAAATTTTAAGGCTTAACCATTAAAGAAAATACTTGGACAGTTGAAAAAGGTTACAATAAGGGTTAGGTCTCATTTAATCCACACGAGACCCATTTCATAAAGATTTAACATTAAAATTGTGTTTTATTGAAAAATGTACAAAACATTTTATAAAGCGCTCTTAAAGAAGTCATAAATCGCGCCCCAAAAAAGACTTATTGTGACCACGGAAACTGAAAAGGGTCCGTGTGGGGTCTCATCATCGCATGTCATACTAAGCTGACATAGCGACCTGCTTCAGAGTCGTGCGTCATACACTGCGACCAAGATATTAAGACGCGTGGCCAAAATCAGAACTAATTTTAGGAAGGTATAATAACCCTTTTTGTTAATATAGGAAGGTTTAAATGAGCCTTTTTACATTTAATAAAACTAGTTTTAACGGGATAATGCACGAAACTTAACGAACGTCAATAAATAAATAAAGTTTCGTGCATTAACCCGTTAAAACTAGTTTTATTTGTGCGTGAAAACCTAAGAAACAAATATCTTTTTACATTTACTTTTGCTCTTTCCGAGTTTTTACAAATTATGACTTTTCCTACAAGTAAGGAGATTTTTATGTAGTTATTAACACATTTTTTTTATTATATTAATTTATATTTCTAAACATGGTAAATGTTTGTTAGATGTTAAAATCAAAAGAAAATTTTACTAGCAAAAATCCAATCAGTCCTGGTTTCAGACTCGATCCAGCATCGTCCGCTGGGAAGATACGGGTTTTACTCGTATCTTCTGGATTGGCGGAAAGAAAAAATTTAATCTGTAGAGAATAAAAAATCTATGCATGTAATTTTTTTCACCAGCAGCGCTTTTCTGTCAATGTCATCTAAGTGCCACAAGATGTTGGTTGCGCAGGTACATTTCTTATTTTTTTCCACAAAGAAAAACACTTAATATCTACATTTCTGCCAAACTACAATGCAGTTTGTCGGCAGCAGTTCCCGTGACACTTATATTTATTGTTTTCCCTATTTACAATTATTTTTCTTTTCTATCAGTACCAAACTTAATAAATACCCAAAGCTTACATTTTGCGATACAAAAAGTATCCTTTTTGTCTCAATCCAGTTGATAAACTAACGGCCGCGACTTCGTACGCGTGGAGTTAGTTAGAAATAAAGGTTCACTGCTCGTTCCCTGTAGGTGATAGCGCGATAATATGTAGACTTTATGTTGACCCGACTTCTTAATAATATTCGTGCCAAATTCGAAGTCAATCCATGCAGTACCTTTAGAGTTTATCCCGGACATACATACAGACAAACAGATAAAAATTCTAAAAACTATATTTTTGGCTTCGGTATCGATTGTAGATCATGTAACGTACCTCAGGAATCGTCCCATGGTTTTGACTATCATAGGTTCCATTCCACACATTTTATCATATAACATCATCGAATTATTTAAAAATATTATTTATTATTTATATTAATTAAAATTTATTTGTTAATATAATTATTTATAATTATAATAAATTATTAAATATTTTATATTGACGATTCCTGAGGTACGTTACAATCACACCCCAAGTATTCTTTTAAAAAAATATTCAATGTACAGTTTTGGCTTTCCTACCATTTTATTATATGTATAGATGACACAAAACACACTCGTGCCTAACAGCCAAGCAAAAAGTTACCTACCTTTACGATTCCTAAAAATATACTGTATTAATTTTTAATAAAGCCTTAACGCTTTACTAATTTAACAGTGGCCATGTTCGATTTATCGCTCGTTCTAAGCAATCCTTACTATCGTAGTTGGTATAAATAAGAATTTTAAAAACTCAATTATAATTCCAAATTTAAATCTAACGCTCCCCGAAAGTATTTTAGCCTTAAACCCGGACCCGAGAAACTCAACTCAATGTAGACAAATATTTCACAAAATATTTCCTCGCCGACGACGGTTAGGTACATGAATTTCAGTGTAAGTATAAAACCCAAGTGTCGGCGAGAACTGGTAACAGCTGTTGTAAAAGTGAGACCCTCTCGAGATTTTGTTTTAGGAATAATAAATCCCTATTGGCATTAACTCAGTTGTGTTCAATAAAACAAACAACTACCTAGTAAAGAAAGAAACTAGAGAACCATGTACATTCTAATAAAGATAGTTCTTTTTATCCGTCTCCGAACATTCCGGTAAGGACTTTAAGAGAAGTACGGCGTAGTGGAATTGGTGGGCCCGTTTTGAGGAAGTAAACTCCACCTCACAGAAGATCACAGTAAAATAACACTACCTTTTGGTGGTGTAATGTTTTAGTTGATGAGTTCCAATGCTCCACGAGTTAGTTGATTGGGTCAGGGTAGGCAATAGTGAAAGTGCTATTTTTGGTATCGCAAGTAGGGTAAGCATCCGTCCGGATTTGTTCGGAAATGTCCGGCTTCATAATTTGTCCGGATTTTTAATTTGATGGAATATGAGTAAAACTACTTATTTAGTTATATCACATAAGTCAAATAATCTTTATTAAGTTCTCATTAATTTAAAACAAAATATAAATTATCTTTAAAAATCAACAACAGGACCCCCTCCCCCCTCGCGATGCTAGCGTCTGCTACCACGCGTATAATATCACTGTAACTAAGTGGGTGATGTTTGCATTTTGTGACGAATATGCCCGGACTTTTATCGATATGTCCGGCTTTTGTCAGGACTTTTCAAAATTTTAAATAGTAACCCTAATCGCAAGCGTCTATAGGCTATGGTGGCCGCTTACCGTTAGGAGGGCTATACGCTTGGTTGCCACCTTATAACATAAAAAAATGACAAATCATTACGGGAATGTTCAGAAATAATTTCATTTATTTATTAATCACTTTATCGTTATCATCACCAGTGAACAATAGTGGAGTCTGGTGGTGATTATATTATCACCAATAACAAAAATTAAAGAAGTGGAAATATGTATTTGGTGCCATGTTACAATTAAAGTTTAAAAGAGTTTACACTGTATAAAATCGTATCGTATTCTACTTGAATCACAAACACAGTTCAGTGTTTTTTATGCGTAGTCATGTTTTTTTTATACCTATGTTATTTCAATGCCAAGCCAAATGAAATACATATTGTTATAGCTCATATCTGCCTGACTAGGAGCAGTTTGAATGGCCCGGAAGTAGTATTAAACCGCATTCCGAGTCTTTTCTCTTCACACAATGGACGCGAGTAGAGCTATTACAACTAGTTACTATATTTTTACAAGCTAAATCTAAAACGCAATACAAATACATGATAGAAAAAGCAACATAGCTACTTAATATTAAATCACTAGAAATTTTTTGAAGGTTACTTTTTGGAGACTTATTAAAGAAAGTTAATAAAGTAATATAAATAATACAGATATAACTGTATTATTTATAATTACTTTATAAACTTTTCGCTGAATCCTTTTGTATTAAAGATGGTACAGTTACAGCATCAATAGTGATCTCAATCATTATAATCTTTATCTTTATTTCAAAGTGAATCTTTATTGCCCGAAGTCATGTCATCTTGGTTGGTAAACTCGGGAACGGCTTTACCACTATCATCCATCCTATTTTTAGGGTTTCGTTCATCAAAAGGAAAAAACGGATACCTTATAGGATCACTTTGTTCTCCCTTTGTAGGTCTCTCTGTCTGTTTATCCAGACCCTTTATCTCGAGAAGGCGTGAAGGTATACAGTCTACATAACCAAACCCAAATACCCCAACAGTCCCTAGAAGCTGCGAAAAATTCAGATTTCTAAGTTAACGTAAAAAAAGATACGGCCGTTTCTGTTGTGACTACTTTGTACGGATCCCTCATAAGGCGAGTACGACTCGCGTTTGTCCGGCTTTTTTAAGGTTAATAATACTTTGTAGCAGGTTCTTACGGAAAAGAAAAATAAGTTGCGCAGAAAAATAGCAAATTTAAGAAAACTTTACTCCACTCGATAGGTAGTCGCTGCAGTTAGCTTAATGGTTATTTTTAAATCCGGCAACATTTAATAATACGGTGTTTTACCTTCCGCGACTACCTTCACGTGATGCTGCAACACCTCCTGAGGCATACTGAACCGCTGTGACCACCTGCTGGGTGTGTATTCCGTCTCCAGATCTACAGCATCCATTATGTCAGACATCGTATCAACTCAGAGATCTGAAACCAAACAGAACGTTTTTGAGCATATTTGTAGTGTGGAATTTAGTTACATTTCGAAATTCTTAGATATATTTTTCTTATTAATAATGCTTCTAAGGTAATCGATTCGTTTTGCAAGTATTCTTGAAAGATTTGAAATACATTTTGGTGAAAACCTATGATAACAATCTGAAAATTTATGTGTTGTTTTCTTCGTTGTATTATAGGTATGGTAATTATCTTGTACTTGGACAGCGATCAATGTGGTATTCGAGGGGCTACATTATGACAAACTTTGTAGGTCAATGCTGTTTAAATTAAAACACAAATAGACCTTGCTTATCTGTCTTCATATATAACATGATTGTTTTAAGGTCGATAAGACAATTCAATCAAAATTGGTATTAAATTGGTTAGCATCAACTCATTTATGTTCTATGATGATCGTCACAGTTAATTGAGTATCAGATTAAGGTTCCTTCCTCACTGAGTCGACCCCGGGCGCATTTGGTTTTCATTACTGTACCGAATCTGTACCTGTTTCCTAACCGAGGACCATTTCGTGGCCGGCTCGGATGTTTTTCTTTCATATTAGCCGCAAAAAATTACCCCCAACCCACCTGATGTTAAGTGCAAGTGGTGTTCGGTCGTGAAAAGAGTAAATGCGGCAGATCGTGTACCGCTTCAGCCACTTTGCCAGCCTGGACCCAATCCTCTACCCCGCAGAGACCTGGAACCCTACTCACTAGTACAAACACAACACCACCAAAAGGTAGTGTTGTTTTACTGTTTTCTGTAAGATGGAGGTTGCTTCCTAATCCTACCTCTGTTATATAAGTGTCCGTCCTATTTCACGAAATACCTCCCACAAATTGCAGGAAAGCGAGAGGAAAGATGTAACACATCAAATAATAATATTCACTACCATAGTAATGACTATGACCGTGAAAGTGTCTATGTCAGCAAAACAACAAGTTGCATAACAAATCTCAGTTACTCCAATAATACTCATCTCGTATCAAAAGAGCCGACAGCAATGACGAAATTCAAGTAACTGCCGATAACCTTTTAGAAAAGCTAACAACAGTTAGATAACTCGAGCTTATAAACACTGTCAGCCATCCTCAATGCAACCAAATCAAAATAGATAATGTAGCATTTCATTATTTCGGTCGGGACCGTATTTTGTGTTTGACGAAAATACATTCAATTTATTTATGAAATAGGGTGGACTTTCGGCCCCGCTGATTTGGGCGCGCGTATTGTGCCAGCGGACGATTAAGGAAATGATACCATTAATAATTAAGTAAGTACACTTAGTACTAATAAACTGAAATGGTAAAGAGCAATTAATCTGAATGTGATACTTTTCTGATTTATTCATTATTCCACTGCGAGAACCGATTATAACAGCTTAAATGATTCTTTCACAGAGAAGGTTTCCAATCACTTCTGTCTACAAGTACGGTTGATGAAGGTGTTAACCTTATGTATGGTATGTTTTTATTTTTTAATCATTAACTTGCTAGATGTTTAAATCTAAAGAAAAGTTTACTAGAAAAAATCCACGCGGAACAGGCAGCAGAAGGGACTCAAACCCGCACCCTTCGCTATCCGAGCGAATGCAGTAACCATTATGCTACGGCGGCCCTGACGGCCGTGTCGAATTTTCTCTAGTCTAAGGCTGCAAGGAAACATTATGTATAGGGATATACAAAATAGTACGAACTTGTACGTCCCGATCAGTAATAAATACATCTGGCAAAAGACCGTATCCAAAATGATACACGCCAGCCTTAATAAATACTAGCTTTTGCCCGCGACTTCATCCGCGTTATCGTCGTTTTTCGTAAAAAAGTAGCATATGTCCTTCCTCAGGGTTCCGTGGTTTTGATGTGACAGACAGATTAACTTTCGTATTTTAGTAGGGAAATATAATACTGTTAAAAATATCGCAATAAGGAACCGCAGAATATTATTATTATCACTGTGCCCCGAGACCATCAGCGTGTAACTCCTTGTATGTTATTATGTTAATGTATTGGTAATATTGTTTAGATCGCTTTCACATGAGTCTTAAGTACATATAGAATGAAAATACTTCAGCGCAAAGCTTCCGGGTAGACTACGTTGAAATTTGTCCCGTCCGGAACGTGAACATAAAAAATTCTAGGACTGCTAACCCGGGAAAGACCGACATAACTGACCATGTGAAAAACAACTGACACCGAGATCTACTGGTCTGGAAGGTCTGCCCTTGAGCCTTATTTATTGTCATTGCTTAACACACCGATACTGGGAATTGCGTTCTTTTAAATTGGAATGGAAAATTATTTGGTATTATGGGAATTCTGGGAATAAAGATGGTTTCTCCTGCACCGCAACCTATTAAAATTTGAGCCTCGATTACATTTTGTTGCAACTGGGTTACTTTAAGCCGAGTTCCATTGCAAATTTGTGGTGGTCTTAAATTTCGGAGCAGAATAATCGGAATGCCAATTTTTAAACAAATTTCATGAGAAGGAAGTACGGGCATATTTAAAGAATTTAAAAATTCTATCGGGTAATTAGTGGCTTCTTGTACATCGGCCATTCTATTTATTGAACTATAAACTTTGCTTTCCCCCTGGATATTCAACAGTATTTTATTATTAATCTCAGATGCCTGGTCATTGCGAGGAGTTAAAATGGACCTTTCGCATAGCCAAGAATTGTTCTTATTTAATATATTTGTTACGTCACCGTAAACTGACGATGTAAGATGTTGTTGGGATTGCACTATACAACATAACTCAGGCGTCAGAATAAGTTTTCCTTGGTGTAGCAGTGGATAGGTATCTTTGGTGAAGGTATTTTCTTTAATAATATATCAGAAAATTCACGATCATCCGGGTTATCTACAGTTCTCACTCGCATGTTTATAGTCAAATGCACCGATTGTATATCACGCCACAAATAAGAGCTTTTCAGGCAAGCCCTAACCTCAGCAGCTCGGGTTCCCCGTGGTATTACCGTTAAGGTTTGTCGGAAATCACCACAAAATAAAACTGTGATACCGCCCATGGGTCGATCATTTTGTCTTATATCTCTTAAAGTTCTGTCTACCGCTTCTACTGCTTTTCGATGGGCCATCGTACATTCATCCTATATGATTAAATTACACTTTGAACGAATATTTTTAACGAATACTTTAGCTACCTTACACATAAAATCTAAGTGACTATTTGAACTAAAATATTCTTATAGAATTATAACCAGAAATATATACAACTCACAACAAAAAAGAAATGAAAATAAAGCTGAAACGCGTGTGCAATACTATCTACCAATACCTCCTTCACTTAAAAATAAAAACTTATAACTACTTTAATTAATAAAAGTACCTACGCTTAATAATTTTTAATTTGAACGAATATTTAAACACTACCAAAACAACTAATACCTGTTTTACAAAATAACAACAAAAGAAATTCAAATAAACTATTTAAAGACTAAAAGTCGCGCTGATAAGCACGGTTTCGGTCTCCCAGGCGGGGGAGCAGATGAGAAATCCTCATGGTTACCCTACAGCCGGCTGCAAGGTTATGTCAGACTCGTACTGACTAAAAAACACCCGTAGGGGCTGCCTCTGGCCGGGAAGGCCTCTAAGGCTTCATCGGAAGCGATCGTCCCCCAGGGGGGGAGCGACGCAGAAAACAGATTTAGACAGCTCGCTCTCGGACCTTTGATACCCTACCGCTGCCGCGACCCGTGTTGAACGCGGCAACCATTACACAAAAATAATCCTTATAGCATGATTCAGTATTCACGTGCGACGGCGCGATGGCTTATTTCATGTATAAGTTTGGTGTTTCTATACCGAGTATTATAAACGTAAGAGTAAACAAATATGATCAGAATGCTCCGAACTGCTAAGCTATCGGGAGTTACACGTGTTATTGTGAGTCAACCATAAAAGATAGACATATGCTGTTGCGGGATATTTTTTAGACAATTTTATGTAGAATATTTCCGTCATACATGATTTCTATGTAACTTTAATCATTAAGGCTGCACACGCGACGGAAGCTTAAAAAATGGAGTAACTTCTCCCGTTTTCCCAACATTTCCCTTCACTACTCTGCTCCTATTGATTGTAGCGTGATGAAAAGTATACTATAACCTGCCCAGGAGTATGTAGAATAATTGTACCAAGTTTCGTTAAAATCCGTCGAGTAGTTTTTGTTTCTATAAGGAACATACACACAGACATACAGACAGACAAAAAATTTACTGATTGCATTTTTGGCATCAGTATCGATCACTAATCACCCCCTGATAGTTATTTTAAAAATATATTTCATGTACAGAATTGACGTCTCTACAGATTTATTATAAGTATAGATAAGCACGGTTTCTCAATATCAATTATTTTCTGTCAATAAGGTCGAACGCTCTGAACGCATCGACAGCCAAATATTGAATGAAGCTCGCTTTCTTTTTTTTTGTTTCTTCCCAGGCGGGGGAGGGGGTGTGAAATTCTCATGGATACCCTACAGCCGGCTGTAGAGTTATGTCAGACTCTTACTGACTAAAACACACCCGTGGGGGGTGCCTATGGCCTTAGGGGCCTTACAGGCTTCATCTGATGCGATCAACCCCTGAGAAGGGGATGATGCAGCGCTGCCTTAGTAAATACTACTGCTAGTGCGCTTAGAGGACGGATGCACCCTGATGTGCATCCGTATCGGTTTGGGACTGAGTGGCTGAAGGTCTCTCAGGATCGGGGGGGGCGGGGAAGCTCGCTTTCGGACCTCCCGCCTTTTTATACCTTACCGCGCCGCCACGACCCGTGTCGAGCGCGGCAGCCGTTACACAAAAATAATCCTTAAAGCATGATTCAGTATTCACGTGCGACGGCGCGATGGCTTATTTCATGTATAAGTTTGGTGTTTCTTTACCGATTTCTATGATTCTTTTTTTATTGAATAGGTAATAATGTTAACTTTTTTAAAGTAGGGATGAGTGAGAGTATTATA